AAGCGGTTGCAGTAGATAGGGGCACCGCATTTCTATGGTTTTGTGGTCAGAATAAATAACACTCTACAACCTCCGCGGCGATTAATCGGTCAAAGATTTGTCATGAGGGACCCGAACACTGCAATTAACATTGACCGACATCACAACTGTGCAGTCGCTAGTTGCTAAGATCGTTCATTTATTTTCTACAGTTTTATTTTACTTAAGCTTTGTAAACTGTACTGATGGTTGTTGACTGTGGTTTGAAGAAACCTCAGCCTGATCTTATAAGTGCGCTACTTTTGCTGTTTCCAGGCCAAGGACATGGTCCACCCTCTCGCCTTTTGCACCACTGAGTTACTCGATCCACTCATATTTTACCTCCTTTAGTTCACTTCAGTCGTCGGTATATCCAGATTTGATTGAGCATTTCTTCTGTGGAAAATGGAAAACGTGTCCAGCTGCAATTTTTCCGATGGTCACACTTAAAAACCAAATTTTGCGTTCCCACTCTGTTTTTTTTTTTCTTCAGCGCTCTTCTTAAATCTCAGTTGCCGTACATCAATCCTTTGTGGGATGCGGCACGCATTCTACTTCCATTCAGAATCGTAGTGGCTTATTGAATGCGATGTGGCCTATACAATGACTTGCGGGGCCAGCCGATGTACAAGTCAGTGTTCTTATCCTCCCAGACGAATCTGGTATCCAATTACCGTGCCCCAGCTAGAAGGCTTCGTTGGCCTGGGCGGGATCCGATACCTTTGGACTGCGCGCATAGTAAGCGTACCTGTTGCCACTACATCACCTCCATCTCAAAGAGTGTCAATACCTAAGATAAATTCCGAGTTGAGAAAAGAAAAAAGTATATCATTTTAAAAGAACTCGCAACAAAACGTGGTAACGACAGTGATTTCGTGAGTCTTGAGATACTTAGGTATTCTGTTTGTTATGGGTGCGGACGGTTCACTCAGCCATGGTGGTAGGGAAGAGCGCAGTATGTGTGGCCGTGAAAAGATATTCTGTGAAACTTTTCGGCTCAAGAGGGAGGATATTACGAGGAGCATTCTCGGCTTGGGGTTTCAGCAGTAGTTTATGAGAATTAGATTTTTCGCTCGACCAAATTTAAAAGCAGTTATGGCATTTCGGTACTCATAGAGGTTCCAAATTACCTTGGCCAAGGGTCTTAAATCTCACGATGGCTTTTTTTGCTGTGTAAGATCTAGGTGTGATTGTATAGACTGATCTTAGGTGTGCTACTGTGATAGCATGGGAAACCAATGCTGTAATCACAAGCATCCCGTCTCGCTCGTCGCTGACGCTGCTGAATAATGTTTGTTTTCGGTGGGAATCAGCTACTTTTCGCCGTTGTCCTCCTTTCCACATTTCTGTTTTATACGCGCATTTGCACTCAACCCTCTTACCTTCTTCTTTCTTTAATTAAAGATGCTGTCGAACATCGCCATCACACCTTTCCTGACTTTTCTCGTCTTCTTTCATTTAAAGCAAAGACTATTGCGAATGCATTAATTTCTTAAATAATCAAACCTACGTCAGTCTAGGAGGCTGTCCGCGAGGGCTGTATGAATTTACTTCGCTCGATAGTCGTCTGGCGTTTTTGTTGGGTGGAACGAGTGCGCTTTGTCGGTTCCATGGCACAGCATCGTCGTCAGCAGTCTGTGAGTGTGTGTGTGTGCCCCCCTGCAGTCTCCCCTCTCGCTTGTGCCCAATGCATCGATTTCGCTTTGAATCCAATGACCCGCACCAGCTTCACCAATGTGACGTTGGGCTGCTTCACGTCATACAAAATCCTTCTTTCCTAATGATGACAGTAAAAACAACGCTTTATTGGAGTATTTCGTGGGCACAAAGGCGCAGTACGTTGCTCGCTGTGCTATTTGCGGCCGACTGAATGACGTTGCTGCGTATGACGAACGAATGCTAGCAGAATATTTTATCACCAGAGAATCTTATCCATGTTTTCCTAGAAAATTATTCGTAATAGTCATGAAAATTGTCCGAACAGGCTTCTCCTCTGAAACACCAGTTGCCTTTTTGGTGAACTAATAATTTTATAATTAGCATTAGATCTGATTAACGTTATTTCATAAGAATGCAACCGCGCTTTATATTTTTCAAACTGACCTATTCTTTCATCGTTTCTTATTGCTTCATTTTTCACCTCTCATCAATATTCATGAATTTTCCTAGAATTGGGACATGAATGGATCGGAATGGTCTGCTCCTCCCAGATATATTTATGCGAATGCGGGTCAATTACACAAACCGAACAGCTCCACTGTAGTTGAAAACAGGTGTGTTTTACATGACACCGTCGTAATTTTTTTCCATGATTCGAAAAAAAACCTGTCAAGCGTTCGTTACCTTCTAGGAACTTGATCAAAGTTCTGGTTGATTTTTGTAAGCTTTTCTTCTCCCTTGAAGGCATAACGCACGATAATTCAGTGCTTGCTCAGAAATAGTAGCAAGGATGCTATACAGTGGAGAAATGACGAAAAAACGAAGTCAAAGGGCCAAAAACCCGCGAAAACCCGTGCTGCACGGCACTGGATGGGCCTTTTTGGACTCCCGTTGGCATCGTGCCAACAACCACTTAGACAGATACGCCTGCACATATAAATTCCTAAGTTGATGTAGGAATGCTTCATATCAATTGTGTTTCATGAATGAAAAGGTAATAGCACTAGCGTCGATGTATCTGTAGGGCCAGTTGTGGGCGGGTGCGTGGGGTGGGCATCCTGGTCGGCATGTTGCAGCTCGATAGGGTGCTATCAGGGTACTTGCATTGGAAAAAGCGCCTAGCAGCACATGCTCAGGGGCATCGAATTCTGTCTTGCTAGGCGTATTCATTCGGCAAGTCAAGATTATTTGATTAGAAATTGTGTTTAATGACAGAGCTCATATAGGACGCTCCTTATTCGATTATTTCCATTAAGTAATTTAGAATGATGATGTCAAATGAGCCACGGGTCATTCCAATTCGTAGACTTGATACTAGTTATGAACCCCGCGGACGAGCTCCTGCCTCATCGACTTCCGACTCGTGAGTCCTTCTTTGTATACTGTTGTTTCAATATTTGCCATTTTTAGCACTGCTTTATCCCAAGGTTTCTAGGTTTGAATTGATATTTGATGTAGTTTTAAACAATTCAAGACTATTGTAGTTTGTTTTTTGCAATGAGGTGTGCAATTTTCCCGAAAAAATTGCTAAAATTATTTAGTCTTACCTAGGCAAGCTTTCAGGGTCTAGCACCTTCCCATACCACAAGTAATAGGTCGATGAGGACGCCTGAATGAGTTGCGTTGGAAAATAAATTTATATGAATTGATTGCGATTTCCATGCCATCTGAAAGACATAATTTTTGCGCTTCGTCTGACATATTAATTGCCCACTTCTCGCAAATAGAGCTGGACCGGGAGTAGAAACGTTTGTTGATGTTCCCTGAGTAGAAGCAGAATATAAAGTAGCAAAAGCAGCTAGAAAGGTAACCAAGCATGACTGAGGAAGAGTAGGAGAGTCAACTTCCATATTCTTTTGTTTGGACTAAATTCAATCATGAAAGTTTCATATGCTCTGGAAATTCTTAAATTTTTCTGGTTAATGTCTCGGTTAAATGTTTTTAGCATTATTATTTTTGAGAACATTGAGTGGGCTCATGTGATACCCTACAACTGCCATCACCTGCGGCTGTTAAAAACACCATACCAGGATTTATGCTCAGCTAAGAGTTGAGCTAAATCACTAAACATGCCCAAATCTCCAACTCATTAGGCGGCGCAGACGTGCTGTGACAGGTATTCCACATGATATTCACTCATTCCACAGTCAGGGCACGTCGTGCACTGGGAAATCCCCGTTCGAGAGGCCTATTGAGTCGCCGGAGTGGAGAAGAGTCGTAATCCTCTTGCGGAAACTTTATTTTATTTTTCAAATTCGTTTCGCACCCTCTGTCATCCTGGTTGAAAAGTTTCCAATGGGGATCGTACTTGCTCGTCAATTCGGGTTACAGGACCCTTGTCAACCGGACATTTCTCGCTACGAGGAGCCAGAGCTATTTTTCCATCCTATATACTGGTCCAGCAGCTGAGGGAAGAAGGGAAAGGAAGAGAAGGAAAGAAGGAAAAGAAGAAAGGAGGAAGAATAAAGGAAGCAGGAGAGAGGCTCCACGGTTGACAAGTGTCCTGGGACGAGAGGGAGGGGGAGAATCTGACCTTGAGAATGCTTCTCGATTTTTACTGTTCGCATGTTTTTCCGTTCCCATTTGCTATATACTCGACTCCACACTCCACTCACGCTTGCAAGATTTCTGAGAAAAACTGAAAATCATAGAAAAATTTAAGAAGTAGTAGTAAGTGGGGAAAACTTCAGTAAAGTGGTAGGTAGGATGGAGAGGGGAGTTGGACGAGAAGGAAAAATGGAAGGAAGCGTGATATGCTATATTACTTATATTTATTATCTGTGTTTGCACTATATTTTTAGCACTATTTACACCGCTTTCTTCGGAATTCAGGCCAATTTCGACTATGACGTTGGTAGATTCCACTATAATTTTGTCCCTGCGGGTAAATTGTCTCGCTCAACATGAACGTCACATGCGCCTTTCTCGAATTATAATTTTTCAAATTCATAATTGTTATAGGTAGGAGAGGTGCATGCTAGAGTAGTTGTAAACTGGTCTGTCTGGTGTAATAAGTTGACCAATTTAACAACACATTTAACACTTCTCATTTATCTCAGGCTGAGTAGAGCGCTAAATATCGGAAGCTTTCCGTAGTGGTATAAGGTACTATATGATTCGTAAGAGTTATAAAGCCTCTCGCAGTAAAACTTTTAGTGTCTCATACTGCTTCAGTACTGGTTTGGTCATTTTACTCTTTGCGTTCACTTATTTCTGGACCACATTCTTTCTTTGATCAATCTATATTGCACCTGTCTGTTTTTATTTTCCTAAATATCGTTTTTCTTTCAGGTATAATAGTGAGTTGATATCATGGAACGACGATGCACGATATGAGCAGAGAGGGAAAACAGAATACATTGATGATTATGACGACTATGAGCCCAACCATTTTCGTGAACGGGATCCTCCAAATAGAGAGACACGACATCGTAATCGCCCCTTCCATCAGATACCCTCCAGAAGTCACAGCTCACACGCGATGGCTGTTCACGAGAGAACGTTTCCGGTAAATTTGCCTTTTTATCAAGGTTACATAAGTTCTTAAAAGGAGTCTATTTAGGGTCGATGATCCTGTGAGCACTGGCGGAGCAATGGTAGGCGACAGATGCGTATGGGTTTCTGAAAGCGGTCGTCACAAGGGCACTATAAAATTCATCGGCCATCTCAAGGGACACAGCAATCTGTACGCCGGCGTGGATTTTGTAAGTCTCTGATGTGCTTACTAATCTACCAGTTTTTTGCAAAAATACTGAAACACTCGAGCTGTCTGAAATTTTGTAGAGATTTCCAGCTCTCCATTATAGATATACCCGTTTTGTATGGGGACCCGGTGGCAAAAGTAAACCCAAAACTGAGGCTAATTAGTTGTGCCAAACGAAAATCCCAACAATTTATCGGGAAAATCTATTTGTAATATTGTTCTGGTTTGGCTTTACTTTTAAGCATCGTTTACATTCGTTGCGCTTCTTTTTCTTTTTCTTTTTAAGAGTTCTAATACGTAATAGCTCCCAAATCAGCGTTCAGACTCCGCAACAGAAGCACTTCGGTCGCGCGTTCGACGCTATCGACCGCGCGACCGAAGCACTGCCGTCGCAAAGTCTGAACGCTGTCCAATACGATATCCAAAAATTTTGGCACGAATTAGTTTGTGCGGCTTGTCAACCTACGCTCTTCACCTTGCCCGAGGCTCAGCATGAGCAGGGCGCTGGTCATCAGAATTTACGCCGCTGAGACGTGCAGACCCTTTAACAGAGCGTTGAGACTCCGCGATCCAGTCGAGCGATACAGTGGCGCGATCGCGAAGTCTGAATGCGGTCTAACGCGCCACAGCGGGTCCGTGTTCTCTTTCTTCTCCTGAGCTACTTTAGTACTAAAAGTCCTGCAGCTTTTTTGTCGTGACCATAATTTTTGAACAATATTCAACAACAAATGAGCAGTAGTAGAAGTGCTCTTCATTATTCACTTCATACGTCATTTTTCGAGCAATTTATCAGTTCGGTCCCGTATCTAATCTACGGCACTGAGGAGACACATACCGATTTTGCCCACTCATCACAGTTGCTGAACTCCTCTCCAATCATTTGTAATAAATGCAAAGTAAAACGCGTGCAACCAAATTACCCTAGAGTTATGATACTGTGCCTTGAAAAACAACTGCCACACTTTGAAGACACCACCATATCTGCTCTTTTTAGGACGAAAAAGTCGGAAAAGGCACGGGTGTTTTCCAAGGCGAGGTGCTCTTCCAGACGCCGGAGAATCATGCTGGTTTCGTGCTTCTTTCCGCTCTGGAAATCATTCCACGTCCAGTTGTAACGGCTGCAAATGCTCATAATCGACCCATTTCGTTGGTCCAGAAACAGGTAAGAGGTTGAAATATCATCCAACTTTCAGTTTCCAATTGTTCTGTCGATGATCGTGCTATATCCACGTGTCTCTGACTCGTTTAACTTGACAGGGTCGCTTTATGTGCTTTCTTACTCTTGCCGTCAAAGTTAAATTGCTGCATTCCTACTGAAACATTAGTTAAGGCTTCCGCTGAGTCTCTTCGTGACATGCCATCGCCTCCTGCTGTACCTCCACGACCGCAGATGCAGGCCGAAGACTACATGATTGACTCGTTCACCGTTGGTACGCTGACCAAATTAATTTTTTTTTCGTTATGGTTGCTACACCTTATAAGTTTTACCAGAAGGAAGTGCAAATACCCCGAAATCAGATGTGTCTATACAGCTGGATGAGGCGACGATGGTGTAGGGACAAGTGGCGCGCTTACCCTTCGAGTAGTCTTGGTTCAAATCCCGGTCGACTCGCGCCCAGTCCGGCCAAGCCTTTTACCCTCAGGAGACAGATTAAACTAGTAGAAGATCGTCTGGTAGAATAGGAAGACTGACTTGTACATCGGCTGGCCCCCGCAAGTCATTGTATAGGCCACATCGCATTCAATAAGCCACTACGATTCTGAATGGAAGTAGAATGCGTGCCGCATCCCACAAAGGGATTGATCAACGGCGAAGACTTTTCTATCCTTTATACAGCCGCATACCCTCCTCCCCCACCCTCTTTCATTTCACCCTATGCAAACAAAACAAAATGAATACCATGTGCTCTGTGGATGCCGCTCACGGTATCTCACTTTTCTCATCAGTAAGATCTCCACCCATTTCCATCGTTTTCGCAATCCTTATGTTCATTCATTTCGAAGCCCTATATTTTCACCTTCCTTGAATACGACGCGTTTTAAGCAGAGCCAGTTAGTAGCCCTGCGTTCTTCTAATTATTTCCAAGGGATCGATTTTGCCCTTTCCACGTTTTTATTCGCACTGTTGTTGATGTAATTTCTGCACTCTTATGTGCTGGTTATTGAACCATCAGTTGGCCAGCTACTTCAATATCCTCTTTTTTCCTGCTACTTGAAGAAATGAGAATGATTTGTTCTCAAGAATCGCGTCCTACAACCGTTTCAGTAGAGGATCGTTTTTTCGATCTCATAGTCAACGTCCGTCTATTAATTCTCTAGAGATGTTTTGCAACGTATTTTTTCGAATTAATCACAAATGTCCAAAGTTCATAGAATTCTTTCCAAGACATTTCAAATTCCATTTTATTTTATATGTAAAGGCTTGCGCAGTTATATGGCTCTTCAGGAAGTTGTGTGGAAGTCTGCCATCTCGGTGCTTGTCGTTCGGGAGTCATTCGATGGATTGGTGACGCAATGAGTGACGATCATGATCACATTGAGCGAAGTGCAGTTGTTGAATTGGTTAGTTTTGTGTTTGAACTTTAATCGGTTCATTGTGAGCTTCTCTTGTTGTGAAAGGAGTGGTGCCGTCAACATTCAAAAGCCCTTCAACTCAAGTTCTGCCCATAATCTCGATAGTTGGTATGTGTTTTTCCCCAAACGCTGGCGTGGTGGATTCATTGTTTTCGCCTCTTGGACCTGTTTGGAACTTCTTCAGTAATCCCGAGGGAAGTAAAGCCTTGATGAGTGCAGTTGAGATCCAATTTCGCGACACAGTGACTGGGGCATTCTTGTCCTCCCTCTACTACACGAGACCGCCTTGAAGACTTGACTTGTAAGAAATGTTGGAAAATGTAGAGAGCGCAATGGAAAGGAAAATATTGGAGGCCCTGGAAATAAAACGGCTACTACCCCAAATAAACAACAGGGAGGAACTACCCGGGACATTTAGGTAAGTGGCTTGTTGGGGAGGGATCCATGCGGGTTGTTTCTTTAGGAACGTAAGCGGAAGTCAAGCTAAATAATTTCAGGCCTGAGGAAGGTGCTACGCACCGAAATATTGCAAGATAAGATATTTTGAAAAACTTTTGAGACTTTTGTTGTCTTTTGAGTTTTTTGGAATAAAATTTTGGAGTTTCACATTGTTTTTACACATTCAGATGAGTAATGAGACTCCGGGACAGCACTATACTCAAATGTTGGAAGGTTATTTTCATTGACATTACGTATTGCCTAATCGTATCTTTTTCGCATCATGCTACTGTATATAAATTACTTATGATATATTCTAGTAACCCGTACGTTTCCTTAACCATCTAACCGGTCTCGTTTTCCGATAGGCGGGCATAAGAAGTCTTAGATTTAGTGCCCTGCCTTTTTTCACGTTATCATTGAATTGCTATACGCGTTCATACTTTGCGTCAGCATATGCCAGCGTGAGAATCGTCTAAGAAAGTATGGATATAAATCTAGCGAATGTCAGCTTATGCCAACGTACGCCAGCGTTCTGGCGGGCAATTTGAGTTTGAGGCAAAAACTGTTGCTGCTCTGCAACGCCGGTGCTGGCTATACGCTCGATTACGGTTGGTAGATCGACACCTATAATCCTGGTAATTCCATGTAAATTCCGGGGGTATGCATTCCTGGGCACTGGCGTACACTTGAAACGCTGCGTGCCGTATGCTGATATACACTGACGCAAAGTATGAACGCAGCCTAAGTTAATCCTCAGCTTCGATTTTGCTGAGAGGCAGGAAAGAAACGAGTTGTAATTTTCACTGCTTCACTATGTGGATGGCTACACCTTTTATATCGATCCCGATTAATCGCAACTTCGCTCCCAAATCAAAGTGGAGTTTTTTCAGAACATACATTCTTCACCAACATTTCGTTTCTTCATATGCATGTTTATTTATTCTGTTTGGTTTTTCGTAAGGAGCAAAATAGGTACCAACAATTTTCAGAGAAAAATATCTTGCATCATGCTTCTACTTCCAGACTTCTCATAGAGAAATCTTAGTTATTTTACTATAAAAGTGTTTTTGGCATATACTTTGTGGAATTTCGCAATTTTTGAATGGCTTCTTGTTGCGTGAGATACATTAGTTCCTCATAACATTCCCTGGTGTGAGTTCCGTGAGGTCAGCGCCCAATGGGGAATCATGAAACCCCTTTCTCATGGAGGATCGATACGTGCCAGTTATACAAAGTCATTATTTCAAATGTTTTTTCTTGTTTCTCAAAACTTTGTGAAGTTTTGTTGGTATAACTAACACAACAGCATAACAGCTCGTGACAGGTTGTTGTAAAAGCACATAAAATATAATTACCTCATTCAATTTCGTTTTATTCACTTAATTGTATGAAGAGATTTGCTGAAATCTTGTGAGATAGGGGCCTCTGAAACCAGTGTCGTGATGCAAAATATAGTACACCCATTTTTTTAATGGAAGTGATAATTGTGGTGTTCAGGATGATGTGTCCCCATCTGGCTGGCGCCCTGCCTACGAAGCACCGATGTCAAGTGCAGCCGACGTGATGAACGGTGTCCTTGTGCCGACATCCGCTCTCCGACGAGACCGTCGTGTGGACCCTAACGCTATGAATGATAAAGCAGGCTCGCCCAAGCAGAGTTAGTCCTTTACTGGTTTTCCTTAGTCATTGAGTGTGTCGTCCACCCTTTCAATTTCAGCTATGTTTCTAATGTAACACATAAATTAGTAAGGGCGCATTTAATAGTGAAGTAAGCAAAGATTGTGATTTGCTGAAAGTGGAGAAAATTTTTGAGCTAGGGATAGGAACATTATCAGAGGTCTGGTCGTCGTTCATTGCTACCCGGTTTTTTTTACTGTTGGGCATAGTGATGTTTGAAAATTATTCAACAATCACAATATTCGGGGTAGATCGGCTAGGAGGGGGGGGGGCATTTGCACTTCTTACTACTTCCACACAACAACGTGTCGACCCAACTAGAGAGCCATTTCGTGTGCTTACAAGTGTTGACAAGTTTCACCGAGCTCGACGAGCTTGTTCACAAGTTTTGCTAGAGGGAGACTTGTAAACCGGAACTAGTGAAGCAGCAAAGGTCCGAGATGCCCCCCCCCCTCCACTCCCGTAGCCGAACAACGTTCAGTATCATCATTTATTTTCAGTGAGAGCGGATTTCGGCAGCATCGATAGCGGAATCGAGCCGACGAAATGTGAACCCTGGCGGATCACTGATGATCTTGTTGGTCGAATGAAAGGCATTCAAGGACACAGAAATAGCTGTTATCTCGATGCCACATTATATGCCATGTTCGTACAAAGTACTGCTTTCGACAGGTAAATCCTTTTACCGCTGAAGTAGTTGGGCATTGTTCATAATTTTCGTTGGGGTTTCGGGCATGCCGAGCGTCTTGGACGAGAAGAAAAATGCAGGTATCGATCGAGCGTTCTAGAGGAAACGCCAGTTTGTCTTGCCCGTAACGCTCAAAACGGTAGATTCATACCTGTAATTGCCTTTTCGCTCAAAACGGTGAATCGCCGATGAAAAGTATGAAAGGAGCCAAGACTGCATGGGTGCAATTACTGATTTCTTACTGGTCGCTGAGTAGCTTATCTTGAACTCTCGCTTCAGTTGCTCTCTGTCTCCAGTCCCAGTGAAGAGAACTGTTTGGCCTTCAGTTTTTGCCATCTTTTTCAGAACCATTTCAGCTGTATCACAAATCTTTTTGCAGAATACAACTTTTGTCCCTTTGCAGGTTACTTGAGCGACCAGCGAACAGAGATGATATACCACAATACCGGGAACTTCAACGTTTGCTAGCGACTGAAGTAGTGTATCCTTTGAGAAAGTGAGCTTGTCACGCCTAAACGCGTTGTTGTATCTTCAACATTTTCATCGTACTGCTGACGGCCTTTCGTTTACCATTTCCCGATTAACGTCATTTTTAGGTTCCACTACGTCCGCGCCGATCACATCATGAAAGTACGTGAACTGCTCTCAAAAAGTCTGCCACATATGCGAGGGTTGACCAGTGAGGAGAAGGATCCGGAAGAAGTACTGACGGCTCTTTTTGGACAACTGCTTAGAGCACCGCCGTTGGTTGAATTAATGTATGATTTAGCGTTGATATCCCAAGTAATCTGTCCTTTGAGATTGAGGCTCATTCCAGAAACCTGAAGGATAACAAAGTGGATCGGACATATCTTTGCCCGTTGATTGTCGACGACTGGACGGCTGGTGTGGCCACTACGCAGCATCTGCTTGAACGTTCGATGCGATCAGCGAATGTTAAATTTGCTTATCCTCCAAAAACCCTCATTCTGCAGGTTTGTATGTTCATAGTGTTGGCTGTTAGTAAAGATCAGAGGCAAAAAGGAAAATATTCGGCACTATTCAACTATTACTACCAGGGCACTCCATCGTTGTGATTATCTTAAGAGGGTCGTATTTGATCGTGATAAAGGGGGGTATTTGGTCTGAAAAATTTTGACAGTTGATTTCAATTGTTTCACGGACGCTGTGAAGGGGGACGGGGTCGTATTTGGTCGTTGCTGGCAGACTGCCAAGGATCTATACAAGTACTATTTCCGATGGTTAAAAAAAATGATAATTATATCCTGACGAACCTCCCTCTTCCCTCCCCCCCCCCGCTCGAAAAATTTTTCGGAAAATGGGAAATGGTTCTAAGAAAGTTTGAAAAATCTAGAAGTGGTTGGTAGCATGAAGAGGGGGTCGTATTTGAGGATGGAATTAGGGGGGGGTCGTAATTTTCAGTAATTGATCACAACGCGATGGCGTGCCCTGATTACTACCCCGAAAACAAAAAAAAATGTTTTTTCGTTGGAACTTCGAGAGGTAATTCGGTGTTGTGATCACGAATATAGCACTCGCTTTTGGCGCTAGCGCGAACTGGTGCCAGTTTGGCGCTGCCAATTTCTCACCAAATTCGGTTTAAATTTGCAAGGTCAGTTGATGTCCTGATCACAAAGATGAAGTGAGTTCTCGGCCCTGACGCCATCTGCCGCCATTAGGCGCTGATTTGGCGCCACACCCTTTTTTAAATCGATAAAAACCTGCATAATGGGGTTGTTTGATGCCCTGATCACGAATATGACATTTATTTTTCGACGCCAGCGCCATTTAGCGCTTTTCTAAGGCTGAGCCTGGGAGAAAGAGTGATTTCCTTCAGGTCGGTTCAGCCTTAGCAGAGCGCAGATAATCGCAGCGTCTTCCATCAGCGTGAGCGCCGGAAATGAATGTTCAGAGGTCGAAAGTCGATGAAGATCAGGCCTGTTTTCGGAAAAATGTGGTAGTAATAGTTGAATAGTGTCAAATATTCCTGTAGATTCTGCGACAGGGCAAAATGTTACAACGCAGAACTTGTTTATTGTTGCTGTGGTAACTTTCAGACGAGTTAGTATGTAAGCCTTACTCTAGTACTCTTACAGCTGCCGCGATATGGTCAACAAAAGCTGTTTGATAAGATCTTGCCGTTGGAACGAATCGAAATTACTGGTCTTGTGAACAACGGTTGGTTTTTCATAGGTTGTTGCATTTTGTTCGGGTTTTCTTGATGCTGTCTAATTTCAGCTGTACAAGCTTGTCATGGATGTAGTAAGCCAGCTGAAGGAATGTGTCCTGAATGTTTCCTGTGCAAGCGGGTTACATTATCGGAGGTGAGATTCTTTTGACCCGATATTATCGTAAAGGGGCATTCGTTAATCTAGCGATAGTACTTCGTACTATGTGGTAGCAAAGGCGATGCACATTCAATTTTCCTTTGTTACAGGTATCCTTTTGTGTACCTTGTTCTACTCGTGTGCACTACAATGCTGGGGAACAAGACCATGCAATGCGTTTGTTCTATCCAAGTGGTCGTCCTGTCAAAAAACCTGCTCTTCACCGTATGGTGAGTTCGACCATTTGATTTTTTTTTCTGAATTATTCGCAGTCTATATCCTTTATGTTCTGAGGATGATAACTCCTAAAAATCTTATCTATTATCTGAACATGATCCTTTGCGTACTATGTTTACCTACGCAACTTTCTATTGTCTGGAACATTAGTCATATCTTTAAACGATTCTGTTTCTATTTTTACTAATACCAGTCGCCTCGCCGTCTGACGCTGGCGTGCCTCCTTCTGTGATATGGTCCGGCTTCGCCGCGCTTACCTTCTTCCACATGTTTATATACCCAACTGATATGCTGCTTTTCTTTTATCTGAACAGATGACCAACGCTCCTTGACCAATAACATCATACCTGCTATTTTCAGTACTATTACTGTGCATGCATTATGGTAAGGAGCGACTAACATTTAGCTTTTAGTAAAAAGGTGTTAAACTGGTCCAGAAGTCATGGAAGACTGTCACTCGTCTTGGGTTTAACCGCCCAAACAAAAATTACCGAGAGAAATACATTGTCTAGTTGTGCATGTGTTCGCTTAAACTTCTTTGCTTCATGCTTAGCGGTCAAGCGCTCAAATAAGCGTTTTACTCCCAAATGCGATCACTTTTCCAAGCTTGTTACAGAAATTTATTTACCGACGAATAAAATGATTCTCTCATACCAACTACCCAATTTTTCGCACGTCAAACTTTTGGACCGCCCTGTAAAAAAAAGGGTGAGTGGTAGATAGTCACGTTGACAAGATCCAGAGACGATGCTGAGCTCGAGAAAACCTTCCAGTACAGCTCAATCTAGACCCTAACATTGTTGTGGAAAAGTATCTTTAGCCATTTGGTGCGCGAAAAATCTAACTCAGTGGAAGTTTAACTCCAACTTCCTCGTCCATGGGTTTGTGACTCAAACTCCTTTCACGGGGAAAATGGGTTGAGTGAAGATAGTCGGAGGGAATGCTGTGGTATGGCCCATTTTGGATTATACGTGAATTTTATATCCCAAAGATGGGAATGGCGGGAGAGATTTCCACAGGAGGCAACTGTTACCTTGTATTGCTCCGTGGACAAAGACCTGCTGACAGCAATTGTGCCAAATGGCAATATACTATAAAAATCGCAGCTGCCGCCACGTTCAAATGAAGCAGGCGGCCACGCCTTTCCAACCCAGGTGATGAAATATAATAGGCTCTCTCTGAGCAGCTACTTGTACACATTCTCGGTCTCAGTTTAGAATGGTAGTTTCCATTCTAAACTGAGACCGAGAATGGTTTCCTGGTGGGCCGCAACTCATATTAGGCATGTTAAGGAGGTCACAAGTGTTGATCATCTAAAGTCAGAGCCTTTGATATAGTAAAGGGATAGCAACAACTGTTTATGAGTGTAATAGTACTACTTTCAGGTGTTATCTGCTGTTTTGTGCATTGAAACGTCACATTACGTCGCATTCGTTCGGTCACTTTCTGGGCGTTGGTTGTTTTTCGACTCTATGGCAGATCGAGAAGGTTTAAGCGACGGCTTCAATGTGCCCCAGGTATGTAGACACCTTCGAGATTCACCTTATTTTGAATCTTTTAGTTTTGAAAGGCATTGTTACTTTCATGATTGTGATGGTTTACTACTGCTAGAATCAGCTAATGCAACTTAGAAACCTCTTATACACACAATTCTTTCAACACTTTCAACGAATGAGCAATATAAACTGAGACTTTCTGAAAAACCGAGCATTGAACGCGGCGATCCATGTTACCTTGCATGTTATTCGTTTCTTGCTTAGCCTGGTTGATTCCTCTTTGCTTGTCTCTTGTAATGGGGTCACCTTTGCAAGAGCTAATCAGTCAGTATCTTTTGTCTTGCGGTTTGTCAAGTTTTTTTGCAGCTACCCGGGAAGAAACGTACCCATCTAGGCAGCCTCTTCTCGAGTTCACAGCTTCCACTGTGATGACTTGACGAGCTCGCTTCAGCTTCACTAGAGTGAAGCAACGAAGGTGCAAAATGCCCCCACCCCTCGTCGCCAAACTGCACCGATGTTGTATAGTTGCTTTCTGTTCTTCATCTGAAGTTCTTGGCAATTTTCTCAGGATGCGCTTTCTGTTAGTTCCAGATAGTGGTGACTCACGAGGAGCCATTGCAGCGCTTGGTACTTTTCATCTTGAACGAACTTTCGAGCTTATAATTACCGTTGATCTATGTGGTAACAGTGAAGTCTCACTCCCCAAATACCCAGTAAGTAGCCTCTCTCCCTTGTTCAAATATTTCGAACCGCAGTCTCCGGAGCTGTCCCACTTTCGCGGATCGACAGTGAGTTACCAGAAAGCCGCGATTGTCAGAAGCTTCTTCACCCATCTGACATCGACATATGCCGGCGGTCCTATATCAGTAACCACAGAAGCGGTGCGTTCTGTGAGGACCGACCTTTGTCGTGTCACTCGTCCTCCTGTTCCTTTGTCTTAGGTGTCTCTCGCGCGCGGCAGTATCTCGCTCCAACGAATGTTCGTCCAGATTTGGCGCCTTATTAGAGGCGTTTCCGATGGTTTCTTTCTTGTATATACTGGTAGTTCAATGAGTACCTACAAATCCATATCTGGATTCCAAATCCCACGAATTGAAGTTAGGAGATGTGTCAGTAAGGTAATGTAAACATGAGATGATATCTTTTTCGACGGAATTGGAATGTCTTTATTTCTACAAAAAATTATTAGAATCAAATGATATGACGAGGTCTCTTTGTCATTGTCTGTGACCGTACATGTCAAAGTCGGCTATACTAATCTTTCGGTGTCGTATTCTCTGATTCTCTTGCCTTGTCGTTCTCTGCATCAGCTCGCATCTCGGCTTCCTTTGCTTCGCGAGCTCTAAAAGGCATGATTATTACCATTTACATGGATTTTAGGG